CGCAACTGAAGTGAATAGTACATTCAGATTCAGTTCCAAAACTCTAAACCCGTCACTTCACAGGTAACAATATATCCACATTTTATTGAATTAAACAGTCAAAACTGGAAGAACCTACCTGCAGATTTTGTTTCTTTTTCTTTGGCTCAGATTCCGACTCCAGCTCTCCCTTTTGGGTCACATGTTGCTTTAGTTTTTTTCTTTTTTCCGCCACCTTTTCTTTTTTTTCTGTTGCCTTTTCTTTTTTTTGTGCCGCCTTTTCTTTTTTTTCCGCCGCCTTTTCTTTTTTTTCTGCTGCCTTTTCTTTTTTTTGTGCCGCCTTTTCTTTTTTTTCCGCCGCCTTTTCTTTTTTTTCCGCCGCCTTTTCTTTTTTTTCCGCCTTCATTTTCAGCATTCTAAAATAGAACTACTCTGTAATAGAAACCACAAAACTGCAGTTAGAATCTGTTTTTATATTAAGTGTCAGTTTCGCATACAGGCAGTTATACTACAATTACACCGGTATGAGAATTATTTGTGACTATTTAACTATGAAATGTATGTCTGCCCTGAATTTTGATCCATTTTGGAGAATTTTCATCACATTATAGTTAAGCTACTGTAAAACTAGAGGATCATTCTCCTGTAGAAAACTCAACACCTATTGTCCTCGCAGGCCCCACTGTGGAAAATACTTCACTGACCCTCCTGGTAGCAATCCCCCCTAACTGATGCTGTGCCTCCTGCAGGTGACCATGCACCACGCTGAACTGCTTGATCGATTGCCTACCTCAGATAACACCAGTCAGACCCCTCTCTTCTCAAAACACGTTACTGTGACTGTTAGCCATCTCATGAATATACACACGTGTGCATACAAACATATCCACAAACAACAAGTAAGGCTGCTTTATTACTAAATGAATAGTTTTAAATCTGCATTTCCATTTATAGTGCAAGTTTTGCTACTTCCCTCTAGAACGTGGAAAAACTATGCTTAAAGAATTACGTGTCAGGAGTTTTATCTTTCATTTTACACTGACATAAGGGCAAAGGTGAACAGGAGATGCAGAAAACCTGGCTCCGAAACCAGGTCTAGTGGTAACTGCGTATTATTTCTCTGAGAGAAAAATCTGATTTAAGTGGCTTTCAACAGCTGCCCCAACACAATCACTTTCTCAGTAACAGCCCAAACACAAGAGTTGCCTCCATCACAAATATTTAGCATGAAACGCACTCTGAAAGATAAAACAACCCACAAACCAAACTGTAGGCATCCATACAGCTGAGCCCACCCAGCCGATGGGCAGGAACCACCTATGCTGCCTGACAGAGCAATGGGGGCCCAGGTCCTCGACACCCCTGCCGCAAGGGCACCTCAGGCAGCAACGCTCCCACCACAAGCCAGGCCTAGGCCCGGACCTGGGGCGACCAGGCCCTGGGCAGGCAGGCACCGCCACCGGCTTCCCAACACAAGACCCCTGGGTTTGCTTTCTCTTTTATTGAGGAGCGAGTTAAGAATTCGTGATTAGAAAAATTTTTAATTTGAGTACTACGTTCTCAAGAGCGGCCACCAGACCATCTCGCACGGCAACAGGTTACTGCCCTCTCTCCAGCGCTACCCACCAGCTCCCCCGCGG